TATGAAGATACTATGTTATAGCTGGATGGCTCTCCTTCAAAAATTCCTGTTCTCAATAGAGTATCTATTCTATTGTTTCCATTATCAGAACGATATTCCAGACACCACTTTACCAAGTCCAAATTTCCAATCCAAATAGCCAAGAATTGAAACGTAAATTCTGTTGAGAAAATTGGGATAAACTCCTCCCTTTCAAAATTCTTTCCTTTGGACAATTGATTCACGAATTTCATGCTTGTTACTTGTAATCCAATAGTATTTTCCAAAAAATCACATACCCAAACAGCAGCATTGATTTCACTATTTAAATATTTGATTTTCATACCTGAAAGGTATTGCACAATCCAGATCAAGTATTGTCTCGGAATTAAACTACTATTGAAATAGTCCACTTCAATCCAATGACTTACCAATGGTAGGGACATGTACTCATCATTGGCTAAAAACTCTGCTATATTCATATTAAAAACATCACTCGGTTCAACAACCTTCTCAACATTTTGATTATCCCCAATAATTGATCCAATTAATTTCAACATGGGCTCAAATAATTTGTCAAACAAATACCTAATACATGCCGATACTCTAACTGATCCAAAATATGAAAGATTATCCTCTCCGATGGCCAATCTAACAAGAAACTTTATAACCATATTGTCTGGAAATTCCACCAATTGATCAATCCAACCCTTGGTAATTGTAATAAAATCATCCTGTTCAATTATTCCTGTATAACCACCTTGTGTTCTTGTACGCAATTCTAAATCATGAAGCCAAATATGTAATTCAAAACCAGCAGCTAATTGATTCCTCACCAAATGCTTCCAAAATACCTCCGTCTCAGTAATGTGGTAGAATGATGTACAAACCGATCGAAATTGGAAAATATTATTGTGAAGATGATACGGATCGTGACTGTATGAGGTGATGTGTAATAAAATTTCGGAAGGCAAATCAGTAAGGATCATCTGAATTTTTTTAATTATTTACAATTTTAAATGTGAAAAATGTTAGACAGGTGGTAGAGCATTAACAAGACTCCAAAAGATTAGAAGGAAACAATCGGTAAGTTTCGTTTAAGCCATCATCAGTTTCATCTAACTAAATTTATTGTAACACTGTAATGTCAATCATTAAGACTCCATTAATAGGTTTCTACCAGTTGGTAAATTAGGAACAACCATGTTGCTACTAGCAATTGAAATCTTGTCAAGTTCTGCTTGATAGGTATTTGCATAGGAACGTAAATTTGTGAACACAGTATCAAGGGTTGTTGTTGTCAATACTATATTATGCAGGTGGGGGTATGTTCAGTATTTTGTTGTTCTCAAAAGCCACAAAAAAAATTTACAAGTCCAATAAAAAACATATTTTGCAAATATCAGGTCTTTTACTTTGTGGAAGAACACAAAAAATGACAAATAAAACTCAATGGATGATACTCTCTTTTTATTCATCTTTTCGATTTGTTTTTAATGAGAAAATTGATTTTGAGGTGTTTTGCAAGATTTATTCACTTATTTTACACCAACAACAAAACCAAAAATGCAATCAATAAAAAATATTGTGATTTTTTGGCAATCAATTTTTGGCTGGATTTTGTTCATGTTATTAAAGCTGTGCACTACTACATAAAATTGAGACCAGGTAGAAGTACACACAATACATCAAATCGTTCTAGTTGATCTCTAGAATTTGATTTTAGGTTGCGTGAGATTCTAGTATCTATAGTTTTGGAATTTGAATTGTTTTTAAGAAAAAAGAATCATCTTGGCCCAGTTTCTTGCTGAAGGTGAGTTTGGAAAACTGAGAGCAGTTGGATGAAGAGAGAATACACTAACATACGCAATACTGGGTCTAGTTTTCAAAAATCTTGTCGTCATGATTCTAGTATATCCCCTTTACATCGAACTCAACACTCGTATATGATTTTCTCAATATATACACAATAAAATCAATATGTCACAAGGCAATAATATAGATGCACATAAATATTAGTAAATTTGAAATATTTACTGGTTTTTGTTGTTTATTGGTTGAGCTATTGAATTTTACCATTAATTTTCGCTAGCGGCAAGTCAACATTCCCCTCCCTTGATATTATTTGAGTTGAATAAATTCTGTAGTCACCTTACATGATTTAGCATAGACCATACGATTAGTTTTTTCTGTTCATTTGCAGCCGGAATATCTTTTTTTATTATATTTTGAAAGGTTTGCTTTTGGAGCTGACACCCTAATATTAATCAACAACTCAATTTTCATGAATAAGTCGTCATCTAAAAAAATGGAACAAGCCACCAGTTCTGAACCCACAGCAAACAAACAGTTTCGTGCTTACGTTACACAGCAAATATCTTCAATTCCAACAGCATCACCAACATGTGCCAACTTTGCTGAACAACAAGATGTAGAAGAAGATCATGACTATCACACAAATGTCAACATTTATTGCCCTCATTGTAAATCATTTTTCTGTGAAAACTGTCATTCGTTATGTGTTTATTCTTCCTTGGAATCCAACAGTAAAATTCCCATGTCAAAAAAGAAAACAGTACAGGCCGAACATTTAAAACATCAGTGGAATATCAATGAGGATTATCAACAAAATATCCAACAAGATGTGATGCAATTATTCATCGTTACGAACAATCTGGTTAGTATGATACAACGATGGACAAATGACACAACTAACGTCAATCTACAGGACATTATTGACCAATACGAATTATTTAAAACAGCCACAAGCAAACATATCATCACTCCCTATTTCAATAGAACATTTTTAGAACCGCTGACCCCTATTTGTGAAAAAATTTCTATTTTCCACAAAGCACAAGAACAGGTCAACAAATTCTCTGAAATGTTTAAAAAATACAATAACAAAGCTCTTGATATAATGGATAGCTTTACTTTGGCTTCCACTGAAATGCGATCATTTTGTAAATCATACCTTAAGATTTCTAATGACAAAATGGAGGAATATTTATCTCTAGCAAACACAGCAGAAAAGCTTAAATGGAATGCCATTAATTCCAAAAATCCAATGAAGTGTTGTGTTGTGGGAATTACTAATTCTGGTAAAACTACTTTAATGAATGCAATTCTTGGAATGAACCTTTTGCCAAGTAAGGAAGGGAGATGTACAATTGCTAATACAGAATTAAGATATGCAGATTATGATAAACGTAAAATTGAAATCAAGGAAGAACATGGTACTTTCAACACACTTTCTCAATTTACTTCAGAGTATCTGATGCAACATGAATCAATTCCTGAAGAAGTTGTATCTACTTTTGGTGTTTCTGAAAAAACCAAATCAGAACAGAAGAAGGATAGAGAATCTCAAAAAACTATAAGAGTTCATTGGGATTCTCTCTTGTTAAAAACAGGAATAGCCTTTAGTGATACACCTGGATATGATGATATTTATGAAGAGGAAGTTTTATTCAACACTTACAAAAGACAATCAAAGAAAAAAGCTTTGCCTAAAAATGTAATGGTCAACCCTCAAACATTAGAATTTATTCAAGAATCTGAACTTGTTATTCTAGTAGTTGATATTAATCACACATATACTTCCAAAGATGCTGTTCTAAACTTGTTGGACATTGATGAATTAAAAGGCAAACAAATCATGGTTGTGATGAATAAGTGTAACATGTTTGGAAGTATTGGAAAACGTGAAGACAGAGGTTGGGAAAGTTTCATTCACTATTGTGAAGAATATGAAAATACAAAAACTGCATCATCACCTCCATTATTATTACAATTTTACAAAATGGTAAACAATACTCATGAAAAAGCTAGAACAACATTTGAAGCATGTCTGCTTAATCATATTGATATGATGAGTACAAAAGGTATTTCTGTAAACCAAATATATCCATTATCTGCTATGGAATCCCTTTGTTGTAAAGTAGAAGGAACTGAATTGGATTTGCCGTTCACTCTATTTGAAAAAGCACTATTTAATATTATGGAAGATATTACAAAGAAGCGTATGTCTAATTTTGCTTCTGTTGCACACTTTTCAGTCAATACATTCCTGAGATCAACTTTGCTATGCAAAAATTGGCATGTAAAGATGTATCAAATGCAACTCGAAAAGAAAAAACAACTGGAGGACATATCAAGTCTTGTTGAAAAGTTCAGAGAACGAATTCAACAAATTATTCAAGATTTAAGGCAGGACATTATTGAAGTTTTTGAGAGAACATCGAGTCAAAGTAGTTCCAAGAAAATTGAAGAAGCCATGCATATTATTCACACAAAAGTTTCTGTTGAATTTAAAGAATTCTTGAAGGAACGTATTGCACAAGATCCCAAGTTATCTGTTTCAGATTGGGCCTACATAATTTCCATAACAATATTTGCAATTCCTATTTCAATAATTTTGCTTGGTATTGCGGTTCTATTAGTCCCAGTGTTGATGCCTATCATGTTTCCATATGTAATGGTAAAAACAATTTTGGACATGGTAACAGATTTAAAAAAGAAAAAGAAGAGCAATATTATTGATGAACTAGTTTATAAAAGTGAGAGAATTCAAGTAAGTGAGGAAGAATCAGATAGTGCTGAAAACGATACTGATGACGTTCCAGAAGTACTCTCCACAACATTATTGGCTCTTGATTCACAAAATCTAGATGTAAATCAAGTCATCCAAAAGATAATGCAGAGTTATCCTGATATGTTTTGTCTAGAAATTGAAAAGCATCTAATATCTAAAGTTGAAAATGAGTACAACGACAAACTGAAAACATTTAACTTTGTACTTTGTAAAGATGGGAAAGAATTAGCATTTTTTAATGCCTGGAAAGAGTTTCAAAAAGATCAGAATGGATGTGAACAGCTTTACAATTACTATTGCAAGACTTCATCTTTGTTTTTTGATATTAACACAAAATTTTCACTTTCAAATTTGAAATCTTTTGAATTTTGTGGACACGGAGCATTTGGTAAAACCTATCGTTTAAATAATATTACTGCAATCAAGTATATTTCTACAATTAAGCTTGCTGAACATATTTTAGATAGAGAACTATTTTATAATTCACAACTTTCACATGCACATATTGTTAAAAGCATGCTAATTAAAAAGGAAGAAACTGAAAACGCTTTAAACGGTTACATTTATCAAGAGTATCTCCCACAAACTCTTTCACAATGGGCTCTGAACAAACCAATTAACTATAAGAAAGCTCTTAGATATGCTTGTGAAATAGCACTTGGTATGAAATATATTCAATCTTGTAATATCATGCATAGAGATTTAGACAAGTCAAACATTATGATTGACAAATTTGATCATATCAAAATTATTGATCTAGGTGTAGCAAAAGAAATGGTTGATAATGCACACACAGCAAATCAAGGAAAATATAAAACAATGGCACCAGAAGTAAAACGCTCTGGATCTGACTTTGCAATTTATGATTTTAGATGTGACGTTTATTCCTTCGGAATAGTGGTTAAAGAATTGCTTGATGGTTATGACAGTAGTGAAATTTCATTATTATTAGAGAGATGTTTGGAGAAAGATTTTAAGAATAGAATTGGTGATTGGAATGAAATAATATTTACTTTATATAAGAGTTATGAGATGTATGAATTAGATGTGGAACCAACTGAATATTCTAACCAATTGAAAATTGAGGTACAGGAAGTTCAAGAAGAATCACAAATTGATATTGAGGTATTGAAAAAGGAATTGAAAGATAAGAAAATCATACCAAAAAATTGCATTGTGCAATAATTATAAAAATTGTTCCAACGAATTGTTTATTACAAAAAAAATGAAAGAAATCATAACCATTGTCCATTCATATTGGCTATTTGACTCTTTCATGCTTCTATCAAGCCATTATCACCAACAAATCCCTTTTCTTTAGATCCAGCCACTGGAATGAATTGATTAGTTTTTGGGTGATCCTTCTAATTCGAATATTATTTGTTGTAAGGTTGCTTTAAAACTATTCGCTCCTCAGTTTCATGATTCCATCATGTTGGGGAATGTCATGTCTTTGCTAAATTCAAATCATCTGGAAATACTTCAACATTTGACTCAAGTTTGTATTGTTATAACAATACAGATTGTGAAAATGTTGTGGTGGTGTTGAACTTTCCTATCCAAATAGTGGTCCATCGTATGTTAAATATACCAACCAGACATGTCTTCCACAATGTTCCAAAGCTATAAACGTGTCCAAAGTGTTCTCAGAAAAAAGATGCTACCTTCTGTACTTGTACCAGATTGTTTAATCAATGATGATTGTATTGAAAGTGGTTCATCATAGGGTAGAAGTGAATGTATCAATCAAGTTTGTTCTGTTAAAACTTGTGCATCCAATAGTGATCGTTACAGCTGATTGTTGAACAAATTCTTCATTTTCTGAATAAATCAATTGATTTCCATATTCTCCCAAGTGGATATCAGTGTATAATATTTTTGTGGATGTTCTAGAAATATGTTATCACATCCTAACAAGATCAAGAAGTCAGATAATGATGGAGGATATGAGGAAGTGTTTAATCTTAAGCTTGGAGAGTGATGTGTCTTATAGTTTGATTTCAATTTTTAAAACTGTATTTCTTCAGTGAACATACACTGAATTTGACCAACAGCAAGTGGAATCAATTAAATAATTTCGTTCATCAGAGTCATGTATTTAGGATGATATTTGTCATATCTGTCCACAAAGAATTTGGTAACATTTTCATTGGAAAATGAGGCAGCAATTGGAGAGTTACATGAAAGAATTTCAATTCACCTCTCTTTGTGATAGATTCTAAATTTTGAACCTTTTCAATATAAATATCCATCAAGAGAGCTAGCAAAATACAGAATGCCATGATATTGAGAATGAGAATAGTCACAACTAGACATTTAGTGTTGGACATAGAAACTGAACCACAACATGTATTCACCTCAATACCTCCAATTCCATCTCGCATTGGAACGCTTTATAATAGGTTATTGTTGCTGCGGGATTCGAAGAATGAGTAGGTGAAAAGGATGATGCTTTGGAAATTCTTGTTAATATCCATAAAAAGGAGGATTATAACTCTGGCTTATTCGAACTGAAGTTGAGAAAGGATACTCAAACCAATGACGAAGCAAAACATTGGCTTGTTTGATTCTCATTTGTTGTGTTGTTTGATGGTCTTGCCAGTTGTTAGTTCATTGGTGGCCTCGTTCAATAGAGAAAAGCAAGAACGTTGGCAAATTGGAAGAGCTAAAGTAATTGTCTGAATGATACAATGGCAGATCTAAAACTTAAGGAACTTTTCAAAAAGTTTAGTATAGAGAACTTCCTCATCTATATGCAGAATATATGCAATATTGTATTGGAAAGAGAATGACATTTCACCAACTCCACTTAAAATGATATCTCCTGAGTGTACTGCTTGATGTTGAAATGAAGCTTAGTGTAATTCAGGTGGTTGAGCATATCACAGAGACAAAATAAATCTTAATCTTACAACAATACTAGTAACTGGTTTGTGTTAAATGTTGGTATAAAGGTAGAATTAATTGTTTTTAGGATTGATTGGAGATATTTCACTTTGACTGGTAGATTTTGGAATGAGATAATCTTGTTTGTACAGTAATGTTTACGTGGTGCTGTTTTAATATCTTCATCATAGTAACAAAAACATTTACCAGTAGCTAAATTTGAAGGTTCCAACATTTTGGAACAATTATGTTTCAAGCTAACATCATTATTGGATTTGTGCCATAATTGTAGGTTGAAACTTTTCCCAAACTACTCTTGATGGTTGGTGGAGTAATTTAATAACAATATCAACAACAACCTTGAAACAACAATCCAATAACAATTATTACGATTTTCACGAATAGATTCAAAAATGTTTAAACCTAGAGTGTCGAGTAATCACATATGGACTCTTACCGGTGAACTCTCATCATAATCTTCTTACAATAAATGTAAGGTTTGGTGATGTTGTGAATGATGTTTCGTAGTTGTGTTGATGTGGTTGATGTAGTTGGTCTCATCATATTTTTGAATAAGAGGTTGCTGGTATTTTTTTTTAAAATAATAAAATAAATAATTAAAATTGAACTAAAGAACTTTCAAATCCATTGATTCAGAGGAACACCAAGGGGAGAGTGAAGTAATATTGAGTGTAATTTTCTAATCAACCACCTTCTGGTTATTATATTTAAGAAATGCTGTTTGTTGCAATTCTTTGGTCTGCACCGATTTCTTCGTACGTTCAATACAGTTCCTAATTTATAAATTCCTAATTTATTTAATTCCTTAAAAATAATTTGCGAATGTATCCAATAAAATATAAGTTTTCGTAATTGTATCGAAAGTTGCATTGTGCTATATCCTGGAGCAAGGACTTTAAATTCATTTGCTTATCTCTATGATGCAAAGTATTTTTAACAAAAAATGTATTACAACGAAGGTTTATTTTCTGACACAACGAAATCATGATTTCAACCTCTTGATTTTTGCAGGTGTCCTTATTACATAAATTAACACGATTTGAGAATAGGTATTTTTCTATTTTTACTCATATCTCAAGAACGAAAGTTAGCCATTCACTTCTCACCTCATGATGACATTAACAAGGGAAGGTTTTAAAGGTTTCGTATTTTCAAATGTTGGAGTTTATGTAATTTTAGAGGATTTGAGGATAACTACTTCACAAAATCGAATAATTACAAGATGATTAACATATCAACGAGTGTTATAATGTGTTCCAATCGATAAATATTTTAAAAACATTGTCTTCGGCTCTGAGAGTACCCATTAGCTTAAATTATATATAACAAGAAGCACTCTCTTAAATTTTAATCAATATTAATAAAATTCATGTGTTGTTAGAACTGTTACTGATTGTGTGAATCATAATGTTGTGTATTTATTTTAAAAACATATATCAACTTGGAACCGTTCAGTGAAATCTCAACATTTACGCCTGGCCAATACCAACTTTCCGCCCTGGGAACACCTCAACAGTGTTAGTCTTGTTATTAATTGTGAATCCTTTTGTTAGCAAAATATCGTTCTCTTTTTTCAATTCTTCTGCAAATAGAGTTATTTCTTTCTCTTCTCCCTCCCATATTGCTAATGGTGTTGTTATCTTTCTTAACTGACCACTCCCAAAAAAATTTACTATTAATAACTGTCATAACCAGATTGTTAAATTTGTTTTTGAAGCAGCATCTAAATTAAGACAAATAATAAAATCAGAAATGTCATTTACAAATTTTGAACAATGACAACATTCTTTAGACTTGGCATTTGATTCTCATGCTCAATCATCCATATTTGGTGGACTTATCACCAATATCCTCCCTTACATCTATCTCACAATGTTTATGTTTCTTACAATAATGTTATTACATAGTTGTATACATGGCTGGTTCAGTTAAAATCCCAACTAATCCCCTCGCAACAATTTTCCTTTTACGAAAAAGGAACAATGCTGATTCCTCACGAAAAGAAAGAAGTTGCACTCAACCTTATTCAAGATTTTCTCCAATCTCGAAAATTCGTTCGAATCAAACTGGTAGCTCAATTTATAGGAAAGCTGGAATTCGCCTCTTTAGCAGAACAATACATAATGCCTCTGTTAAACAGATTACGAGTTTCAGTAGTAGGATGGTCAGTCTTTATGCTCATCAACAGAGGCCCCATGACGGACCTAATAAGATTAAAGTCCATCATTTCAAACTCAAAAGGTTCTCTCCTAGATCTAAATCAACCTTTCCCAATTATAATCAATTCAGATGCTTCTCCTCAAGGATAAGGTGTCCACTCCTCAAACACTGTTATTATAGGAAGATTTCACACCCACGATCATATCAATTCGAAAGAAATGATGGCAATTCTTCAATTCTTCATCGAAGCAAAATCACAAAAGCTCTTCCCAAGAGGAACCTATTTCGAGATAAGGTGGACAATTCAACTGCCTTCTCATACATAAGAAAAGGATATGGAACTTTCGAACACCTCGCTCAAATAGCAAGAAAAATTTGGAAAATTCTAATAGAATGTTGCTGGAGAATTGCAAAAGTAATTTACATTCCCTCAGAGAAAAATTCAATTGCAAACAAATTAAGCCTTTTAAGCGATTGGAAATCATCACCAGAATTGATAAATATGGTAGAAAAAGAATTCGGAAACCACACCATAGACAGATTTGCAACATCAGAGTCAGCAACAACGATCCATTTCAACTCTTTGTTAGAAAACGATGCGTTTCAAGAACTTTGGGAACAAAACTCAATCAATTATTGTGTTCCTCCAATAGGTCTAATCCCACAAGCTCTATTTCACTTGATCCGATCAAAGGCCATAGGAACATTCGTAGTTCCTTATTGGCCAACAGCTTACTGGTTCCCGATCTTGCTAAAGATATCTTTAGAACAGATACGTGTTCCGCTCCAATGGCTTATAACAGAGCATTACAACGAACTGCACAAACAATCAGACAATATTTCGTTCATGGCGGTCAAAGTGAATGGAATGCTCAACTTTCAATGAGATGTCAGGCTTTATCTACTGCTCTTGCAGAATCGACAAAGTATTCAGAATTTTCTTATTTCTGTCTACTCCATAATTTAGACAAATCAGATGTTAGAGCCCCAGAATTATTCGCTTGCTATCTTGCGGTTCACAAGAAGCTCTACAGATTGAATAGTTTGAAACCTACGTTGGATTTCTATTCAAATTTGGAAGGATGGTCCGTAAATTATTCTAATCAATTCTTTAGAATCAAACAAGGTTTGAATAAGTTTTATTCACGAGCCGATATTGTTAAACATAAGAGAAGTGGAATCTCTGCTCTCAATGTCAAGCAATTCATTGATAGGATCTCTATTAAAGACCCTTATCTTCACATGTTGTCTTGTGCCATACTTTCCGTTGGCATTAGATTATTAGCAAGACCTGGTCAACTGGCTAATTTATCATGGTCTTGTGTTAAACTTGATACTCCTTTTATCGGTTGGGTTACTTTTGATCTTTCTGGTCACAAAACAGACCAATTATCTGACATGAAGAAACTCCTATTGAACCATAAAGAGGAAATAAGAAATACTGTCCAGTTTATAACCTTAGAAGATATGGATTATGTTAAACATATTAAGGAAGACGATTCTCCATTATTTTCGTTACTGTTTGATGAATATTTCACTCCTACTCAAATTTCTAATATTATTTCAAGCCCCATGAGCTCTATTGGTGTTCAAAACACTTCAGGCCATAGCCTTCGTATAAGTGCAGCTACTAAGCTGGCTTCTAAGGGTGTGTCTCAATCTATGATTGAGACAGCTGGTAATTGGGTGCCTAATTCAAAAATTAGATTGAGATATCAACGTAGAATTGGCCTAGCTACTCATGGTTTAACTACTTCTATTATGAGAACTGATTAAATATATACTTTTATTATTTTCTAGGGACTAATCCATTTGTCTTAATTTAATATTTTATTATTTTGTGGTTTTAAAAACATTTATATATTGCGTAACCGCTCCAAGTAATTTTTACACACAATGAATTTTTTATAGATTTTGAGCAAATAAAGTCTTGAAAATAGTTGATAAGGTAGAAAACTTCTATCACCCTGTGTGTTAAGGCAACGTAGTATTTTACTGTCATATACCTAGGATTCTCCAAAAATCCAATACTTATTTATTTTTAATACAGGGCATAATATGACAGTAAAACAACCATATTCGAGAGTAGTTGTGATAAGAACTCTTTCATGAATAAAAAAGTACCTGTAAAAAATTGTAAAGTCCTGTAAAATAATTACAATTGGTGGTTTTTCACAAGTAAAAAAATGCCTTAACACCTACACCAGCACTAAGGTTTTAATAAATTCCAACTTGTAAATTTTTTCCAAGTCCAAATTGTGTTTCATACGACTAAGCGCATGTCTTGTCCACATTGACAAGCACAATTCAACAACAATAAACAATAAATTATTTATTTATTAATTATTAGTAATTATTATTATCAGGTGATAACAATCTAGGCAGGCAGGAAGGTTTGATTGATGGCCTTATCAACAACTGTAACGACTGCCGTAATAAAATGGTGAATAAGTAAATTCCAAAAACGATCAATGAATGTAAAAATCACTGGACCGGTTACGCAATATATACATCCGAAAAGGGGTCAAACTAAATC